ATCCTTAAATGGTGGAAAAAGAACTAAAATGAAGAAGCTAAGATGGAGTCTGTCCAGCTGAAAAAGCTAACAAAGCCTGAAGAGCTTTTAGTCTGAGAAACAGAGTTAGTTTTAGCTAGCAAAAAGCAGGTTATGACACCACTTCCAGTTGGTTTTTCTTGCTTTTTTTTTTTTTTTTTGAGACAGAGTCTCACTCTGTTGCCTAGGCTGGAGTGTAGTGGCACCATCTCAGCTTGCTGCAACCTCCGCCTCCCGAGTTCAAGCAGTTCGCCTGCCTCAGCCTCCTGAGTAGCTGGGACTACAGGCGCGTGCCACCATGCCTAGCTAATTTTTTGTATTTTTAGTAGAGACAGGGTTTCACCATGTTAGCCAGGATGGTCTCGATCTCCTGACCTGGTGATCCGCCTGCCTCAGCCTCCCAAAGTGCTGGGATTACAGGTGTGAGCCACTGCACCGGCCTTTTTTTTGAGGCAGCGTGTTACTTTGTCACTCAAGCTGGAGTGCAGTGACACAATCTCAGCTCACTGCAACCTCCGCCTCCAGGGCTCAAACAACCCTCCCACCTTAGCCTCCCAAGTAGCTAGCTGGGATTACAGGAGTGTACCATCATGTCCAGTTCATTTTTTTTGAGACGGAGTTCCAGTCTTGTTGCCCATGCTGGAGTGCAGTATCGCGATCTCAGCTCACTGCAACCTCTGCCTCCCTCCCGGTTCAAGTGATTCTCCTGCCTCAGCCTCCAGAGTAGCTGCGATTACAGGTGTGTGCCACCATGCCCAGATAATTTTTTTTTTTTTTTTTTTTGAGGCAGAGTCTTGCTCTATCGCCAGGCGCCAGGCTGGAGTGCAGTGGCACGATCTTGGCTCACTGCAGCCTCCGCCTCCTGGGTTCATGCAATTCTCCTGCCTCAGCCTCCTGGGTAGCTGGGACTACAGGCACACGCCACCACGCCCAGCTAATTTTTTTTGTATTTTTAGTAGAGACGGGGTTTCACCACGTTGGCCAGAATGGTCTCGATCTCTTGACCTTGTGATCCGCCCGCCTCGGCCTCCCAAAGTGCTGGGATTACAGGCTTGAGCCACTGCACCCAGCCAATTTTTTGTATTTTTAGTAGAGATCAGGTTTCACCATGTTGGCCAGGCTGGCCTCGAACTCCTGACCTCAGGTGATCTGCCCGCCTTGGCCTCCCAAAGTCATGGGATTACAGGCTTGGGCCACTGCTCCCAGCCTGTCCAGCTAATTTTTATATTTTTAGTAGAGATGGAGTTTCACCATCTTAGTCATGCTGGCCTCCAACTCCTGGCCTTAAGTATCCGCCTGTCTCAGTCTCCCAAAGTTTTGGAATTACAGGCATAAGCCACTGCCTGATTTTAAATCTTACTTGAAAGCACAGTGACATAAGGATAGATATGTAGAACGCTAGCGTAGAGCTGACGGTCCACAAGTAAACCATGTAGTTATGGTCAACTGACTTGACAAGGGTGTCAAGACCATTCAGTGGGAGAAAGAATAATCTCTTCAACAAGTAAGTGTTTAGACAACGGGATCTGCCACATGGAGTAGAGTGAAGTTGGATCCTTACCTTACACGTATATAAAAATTAACTTGGCAAGGGGCAGTGATTCACACCTGTAATCCCAACACTTTGAGAGGCCAAGGTGGGTGGATCACTTGACATCAGGAGTGTGAGGCCAACCTGGCCAACATAATGAAACCCCATCTCTAGAAAAAATACAAAAAGTAGCCAGACATGGTGGCACAGTTCTGTAATCCCCGCTACTGGGGAGGCTGAGGCAGAATTACTTGAAGCCAGGAGGTGGAGGTTGTAGTAAGCCAGATTGTACCACTGCACTCCAGCCTGGGTAACAGTAAGATTCCATCTCAAAAATAAAAAAAGAAATTAACTTGAACTACAGATCTCAGTATGAGCTAAAACTATTAAATTATTAGAATAAAACATAGAGGTACATTTTTTTTGAGACAGAATCTTGCTCTGTTTCCCAGGCTGGAATGCAGTGGTACAATCTTGGCTCACTGCAGCCTCTGCCTCCCAGGTTTAAGCAATTCTGCCTCAGCCTCTTGAGTAGCTGAGATTACAGGTGTGCCACCATGACCAGCTATTGTATTTTTAGTAGAGACAGGGTTACACCATGTTGGCCAGGATGGTCTCTATCTCCTGACCTCATGATCCGCTCGCCTCGGCCTCCCAAAATGGTGAGGTGGGAGGATTGCTTGAGCCTGGGAGTGGAGGTTGTAGTGAGCTGAGATGGCGCCACTGACCTGCAACCTGGGTGAGAACCCCCCATGTCAGAAAAATAAAAATTAAAGGCCGGGTGCCATGGCTCAAGCCTGTAATCCCATCACTTTGGGAGGCCAAGGCAGGTGGATCACGAGGTCAGGAGTTCGAGACCAGCTTGACCAATATGGTGAAACCCCATCTATACTAAAAATACAAAAATTAGCTGGGTGTGGTGGCACGTGTCTGTAATCCCAGGTACTCAGGAAGCTGAGGCAGAAGAATCACTTGAACCGAGAGGCAGAGGTTGCAGTAAGCCAAGATTGCGCCACTGTACTCCAGCCAGGGCTACAGAGTGAGACTCCATTAAAAAAAAAAAAAAGAAAAGAAAAATGTAAAAAGCTGCCTATAGAATGTACATGGCCATTGGTGTGTCACAGACCTGCATGTTATTTTGGGGAGCCCATCTTTGCTGTGTGACCCTGAAAGTTACTAATCTCCCGGTCCGGTTTCTTCTCTGCAAGTGGGAGAAGTAACTGATAAATCCTCCTTTAAATAAGCTTGCAATTTCTGTCATTTTTGGAAAATATAAGAGCACTCCATTTGTGTGACACAAGTATTCCTCATCTTGGGGAATGAGGGCCTGGTTTAACCCTAATTGCGGGACTAAAGTAATGCATGAAGGTTGGGCACAGGGGCTTGCATCTGTAGTCTTAGCTACTTCAGGAAGCTGAAGCAGGAGGATTTCTTGAAGCCAGGAGTTCGAGACCAGCCTCTACAAAACTTTTTTTTTTTTTTTT